AACCATGCTGCTGCCGGTTTGCTGCACACCGTGTGATCATCTGCTGGGGCATGGAGCCACGGGGGCACGTCGGATCGCACTCCCGCGGTTCTTTTTGCTTCGGCTCTGATTTGCTGCCCTTCAGTGGCGGATCATCCGGCTCGTGTGACCGGGACCAATGCCTTCCAAAGCAGAAGTCAATGAAGAATTGAAAGTCTCCTGTATCACCAGCATGGTCCCAACTCCTAGTGTACCTATCTCCTTTCTGCTAGCTGGATCCCATCTTACATGCTTGCTGTTGCTTCTATATTTGTGCAAATGTTATCTACCCGTGTAGCGCTGCACTCTGCCTGTGCAAAGGTTTTAGGAGTAACCCCATACCACCCCAGTTGGTGTAACACCAATGCAAATAGGACTATTTTTAAAGAATTCTAATTCACATGATTTAGAAAATGGTAATCTCATATGGAGGTGATTCACAAAATGCCCATGTGTTGCTTTTCACATGGGCCAGCCCACCACACTAATAAAATTGGCGTGTGTTTTTAAAAAACAGCCGTGAGTATTTTACATGAGTAAAATATGTGCTCCTGGTAAATAGCCAAATATATTTTATTTAACTTCTTAAAATTATGCTCTGCCTCCATACTTGGTTTGAAGTGGATTCCAAGCTTTCAAATAATTAAAATATAACAATAAAAGGGCCAATACAGTAAAATAAATACCAGCAGTAACCTTCTACTGCCCAAATAATTAACTATCACAAAACAAGAACTCTTTAGGGAATTGTTCTGCTTCAGCACTAAATCTCTATAGCATTACTTACGGACACAGAGTGGGATATTCAATTAGGCTTCTTTTACAAGCAATTGATATTCTCTATAACTTGTGCATAATACTGTCTAGAGTGTTAGATGGATTTTAACATTTCATTACTCCTACCATTGATTTTTTCCTACTTTTTCACAATGAAAATATAAATGTGAACTCTTATTCCACTGAATTAGTTTCAGAGCACTTGAAATTACTGACATTTTAATTAAAATTAATGACAGCCATTTTCATTCAGTTTTACCACTAAGCACATGGAATGAATATCTTGAAATGGATGCATTTATTCCTCTTTGAAAAAGAAATAACATTATGTTCAAAATAAAATTCTGCTTTAAAGCAAAAAAAAATTAAGTTTGTTTAAACAAAAAGCCAAATAAATAGAAATGAGTTTTCATTGTGGCATCTACTGCCTTGGTACACCTATGCCCCACATTCATTCCAACTATTTTGAGGTTTGAACTGGAAACAAAATGATGAAACAATTCTCAGAGTTGCTTGAAAAAATCTAAATATACCTAATTACACATCAATTTTTTTAAAAAGGTTGGCTGCGGTCACACGAGCCATTTGGTATGGAGGGGAAGCGAGCCTATTTCTCCTGGTGGAAATTGACACGGTGTTGCAAGATCAAAATCCCTTGTAGCTGTGGGCTCAGCCCATCACTGCCTGATCAGGCAAGTGGTGGTCCCCCCCCTTTTGTTTCCCATGCTCATAAACGATGAATTGCACCTCCACACTGAGGGTTCCCCATGGAGTATGCAGTTATGTGCATACTGCTAAGTGAGAGGGGAAAATGGCATGGAGTCAGGATGGAATGAGCGCATGCTTGAGCGATCAGACAGGGGAAAGTCCGTCCATAGCCTGTAGTCCATCCTTAGTAAGTATTAGGACTTTCCCTGGTGTCTTTTAACTCCACTTCCATGGCAAAGCAGCATGGGGTGCCAACAACTGTGGGACCTTTCCCAGATGTTGCAATTTGATCATGCCCTTTAGATCCATCAGGCATTCGCAGCTGGGTCAGATCTAAAGGCATGTCTTGACAGCTGTCTTTCAGTGGTTTAAAAACGATTTTCAGCATTATGAAGGCCAGCCTCATGTGGCTCATTTGGCCTTCATAATGCAGCCCTCCTCTTAAGCAAATGGAGTGCCTGCTGCTGCCCAGGCAGTTTAGGGGAGAAAGGAAACAATGCCCATCTAGTTCTCACACCCTTCTGTTGCTACTGGCTGCACTTGGTCAATGAGGAGAGGCCAATTTGAAAAGACTGTGAGTGCTGGAAAGATCTCAAGTTGCCTAATCTGTGGCACTGACTGCACCTAGAGAAGCCTGCACACTGATTGAGCTCTTCTAGCAGCCAACCCCTTCTAGCTCAGCTGGCTTTCATAACACAGCCCTTCTGTGAAGGTGGCACCTTCAGGCCGCACCAGAGGGGCACACCACAGGAGGCTGTCCCTCTGGCATGTCCCTCCAGCAAGGAGCTCTGGAAGGTGGCAGAACTCTATGTTGGATCTATTGCAAGCGGTGGTTCTGGAGGTCGGGGGTAGGGAAGTTGCATTTGGCTGCCTTCTAGCATGTGTGTTGTTCAATCTTGAATCAAGGTAGTGCAAGGAGAGGGAAGATCTGGTGGTGAGAGGAGTGTTCATGCCCAAGACAAGCAGGGAAATATAATGGTGCAGACTGCATGTCTAATCTCCATCCCATCCTTCAAAATATGGGTGGGGAGGCTCTTTTAGATGGCTCCACTTCAACTTTGATGTTGTACAATGTCAGATCTGTGAAAAATAAGATATCTACAATATCTGACCTATTGCTTGAAGGACAGGTCAACCTGGTTTGCTTGATTGCAACTTCGCTGGATGACTGTGATGTGGTCACTCTGACACAGCTCACACCAGCCATCATGACTTTTAAAATCTTACCAGGAAAAGGTATTGTAGCCATTAGTGAAAACTGTCAACTCCTTCCTGACTGAGGGGGCTGTCCCTAGGCTTTCAAAGAGGCAGTTGTTAGACCTCTGCTTTTAAAAAAACCCTTCATTAGCTAGGGATGAGGTCGCCGTTATAAGCCAACCTCCAATTTACCTTTTCTAGGGAAGACGAACGTTAGAGAAGCCAATGTTGGATCAGGCCAATGGCCCATCCAATCCAACACTCTGTCACACAGTGACCAAAAATACCAGGTGCAATCAGGAAGTCCAGCAGTGGGGCCAGGACACTAGAAGCCCTCCCACTGTTGCCCCACCCCAGCACCAAAAATACAGAGCATCACTTGCCCCGGACCGAGAGTTCTTATCTATACTTTGTGGCTAATAGTCATGGATGGTTTATCCAATTCCCTCTTGAAGCCGTCCATGCTTGTAGCCACCACCACCTCCTGTGGCAGTAAATTCTGTTTGTGGTGGCAGAGCAACTCCATGATTTCCTGAATGAAACGTCTGCCCTTGACGTGTCAATATGTTAGACTTAGATGGCTCTAGTTGCACTTCTGAACAATCTCCATTTAAAGTTGGACGGGAGACAGTCTTTCCTGTTGATACTGTTGGACCTCTCAGTGGCCTTTGATACAGTTGACCATTCCATTCTTATCCACTGGCTTGAATATGTTGATGTTAAGGGCATAACCCTTCAAGGGCATAACCCTGTCTGACCAGACACACAGTTCCGCCACCAGAGGCACAAAACCAACTGGTATTTGTCTTGTGGAGTGTCACAGGGGTCTATTTTTTCATACATGCTTCTTAATCTATGTATGAGGCTGCTGAATGAGACTGCCAAGAGCTCTGGGATTTGGTGTCATCAATATGCAGATGGTACCCAGCTCTATATTTCATTATCTAGGCCTTTAGATGCATCTGTCTTGGTTCTGAATTGGCACTTTTATGCTGTGGTCAAGTGGCTAAGGCAGAACAAGAGAAAGCTGAATCCAGATGAGACGGAGGTAATGCTGGTCAGGAAGGCTGATATTCTAGAAGTATTGAATCCACTTCTCTAGATGGAGTGAAGTTGTCTTTTTCAGATCAGGTGAAGAGCTTGGAATTGTTCATTGACCCCGGCTTGCTCTTTGAAAAGCAGTTTGGCATGGTGGCCAGGAATACCTTCTATCAGCTGTATCTGGTATACCAATTCTCTCATTACCTAGCCAATCTGACCACACTGATCCATGCTTTTGTAATATCATGATATGATTACTGCAACACACACTGCTAGCTCTTGCCCTTGAACACAATCCAGAAACTACAACTACAATGCCACTAAGACTTGAACATGACTATAGAATACCTTATGTAGGATGAAACAGAATCTTGAAATAACAGGTTTTCAACAATCAGTTGGTTTTCAAAGATTAGAAATCAGCCAGTTTTACCCAAAAGCAAGCAATTAAACATTATCTGTAAACTTTTCCCAGGTGATGTGCCTGTCCACGTAAATCTTCAGGAGGTGAAATTCACTGTGGCATTAATACATATTTTGTGCATACATCCAAACACTCTGCAGACTTTCCTGTAGGAAACTGATCCTGCAGAATCTCCAGACCAACCTGGAGGCAGTTTTCTGATTCAAAACAATATGTGAAGAAACAGCGATTTGAAACTTGGGGGAAATATGGTGGCATAGCATCAATTCTCCTATAACCATTTTTGTTTACTTCAAGGTGTTTGAAACAGTTTGAAGGCTGTGCAGTACAGTTTTTAACCAGAAAATTCTGCTAAAACTAAAATGCATGTAGAACATGCCAAGAATTTGGATCATAGCCAAAAGATTTGAAATGTTTCTCTTTTTCCTGTGCACCACGCTGGGTATGCCCACATTTTAAACCAGTGTTAAAACTAGCTATATTACAGTGAGTGGTGTAATCTCTTTCCCGAGAACGTATTATCTGTTCTACAACCTCTAACTTTGTTAATACACACACACACAGAGAGAAAGAAAGAGAGAGAGAACACAATTTTAACAGAAAACATACTTTTCCATTTTCAATGGCAAAATAGTTAGCAGGAGATTGATGCAAGCAAGCACAATCATGAGACAGAGGAGACGAGAACGGTAAAAGAGGCCACCTATGTAAGTGGGAAGTAATATGCAGGTCTGCAGATTACCTCTAAGTGACAAAAGAAATCCATGAAAACCTATGTGACAAACAAGTGTGTATACTTTCTTTTATCCCTCTTCCCTTTCCCTACTATTTTTAGATAACAAAGATTATGATGCATATCTTTCATACACCAAAGTGGATCCTGACCAGTGGAATCAGGAAACTGGGGAAGAAGAACGATTTGCTCTGGAGATCTTACCAGATATGCTTGAAAAGCACTATGGGTACAAGTTGTTTATTCCGGATAGAGATCTGATTCCAACTGGAAGTAAGTTTCAACCTGTTTGCACCTGAATACATGTATATGTGGCACTGCAGTGCCTTTGAATGCTACTCCTCAATACTAGAGTTGACTAAAATGGCTTGGATTGTGCATATAAAATTCAATTGGATGTGTTCTACCACTTTGTTCAGCATGTTGAAAGCCTTCTTCCAGCCTAAGGAGCCTTCTGCAACTTGTGGGTCATCCGACATAGGCTGGAGGTAGGCTCTGAATGTTGCTAAATGGAGTGGTAGGATTAATGCCAATGTATACTACTTTAGTAATAAGTTAAACTGAAAATAGAAAGAGCTCAAGAAAAGAAGTAGTACTGAAAAAGCTGATGAAATCAATATATATGGCATAATGAAGTCTTGATTACATTCTCTATCTTTAATCTACAGTACATGCTCATAGAATGATTTGATACTAGAATTGGAGGAACTGAACCTGTTACTAATACTGTGTATTTAAAAGGTTAGGGTATAAAATGTTATTATCGTAATGATGAGCAAACTGCCCTTGGCTCACTTTGGAAGCAGTTCAGTAGTTATGAGCTTTCTCAGAGAACTCTTGGGAAAAGCTGGCCTTTTCCCTAGGATTCTCTGTGAGCTCATAATGTCAGCAGCAAGCTATTATTGGCTACCACTGTATGTAATAATTCAAAAATATGTATTATTTTTGAGTAATTCATGGACACTAATCATAGCTTGAAGGTGATTTTAAGGGGCCCTAAGAAGAAATTCAGGAACAAAGAGACAGGTGTAATCCTTGACTATGCATTATGGAAACTCCTCAGTCAAAATAAACAATATTTTGATAAGAAAAGGCCTCTTATATGTTATAATACCTATGTTGTCTTTGCTTTTCATTTTTATAGCTGATAGTGAGACCACAAACTTTCCTCTACTCCCCCCATCACCACCACTTAGGTCAAGGAATAACAATCTCCCACCTAGACTGAGCAGAGGACAGGGTTGGACTAGAATATGGGTGGTGCACATATACTTTCAATTCTCCATAGTATCTTTGCAGACTTCTTCTGCACATGCCAAGGGGGAAAGAGAGTAAACAGGATTCTGATAACCCTGCTTGTACAAGAATAATGAAGTATATATTGTTCAGTGGTAACTTCATACATATAAAAACCATCAACACATTGCTCCTCTATTTCCAGAAATTTTAAAGCCATGAGGAAAAAACTGGGTTTCCCTTCATTTCTCCCCAGAAAATTTTGGGGAAATTTTAAATATATGTAATACATACTTTCCCATCAGACCTAAACATATTATACTGATTTAACAGCTTAAAATTATTTATTTATAACTTAGCTAGCATATAAAATTGTACTATTTGGCATATTTATGAAACTTAAAAGTCCTCATCTTCATTTCCTACAAGAAAAACCACAAGTATGGCCAATAATCGAGAAACAGTTGCAAACTACAGTGCTCTATGCTATCATAGCACATCTCTTTATTTTTTGCCATCTGAGAGGTAGGAAAAAATAGAAGTTCAAGGCAGAAAACAAATCCTGTTGTTGTCAAAATAAAGTGTATCATTTGAACAGAAACTCGTTCACAGAGTCACAATAGATAGGACTGCTACAACACTGAGATCACTGAACTCTTGAAAAACACATTATTGCATATTAATTGTTGCCAAAATTATAACAAAAAATCTTGAAAATAAGATTAATTTTTCTAGTGCTCTCTAAAATATCCCAGTTTTTCCATTGAAAAAATTGACAAAAGTATCTAGATGTTCATGCTATACATTTGAAATGAGTGAAATGCTTTGCAATACACAGTTTTTCTCAGCACAAGAGAATGTTTCATAGGTGGGTGTTCCTGAAAGTTTCCAATTTTTCCATTGGAAAAGTTGAAAAAAATGGTCTGACTTTTTCACAGTATTCATTTTGAATGTGAAAAACCTTGGCTTAAGATGCATTTTATTCATTCTAAAAGAAAAGAAGAAACTTTTTTAGTATTCCACCAAATTTTCTATTTTAAAAATGGGAGGGTATGTGGAGGGGGGGATACCACCAGTCTTTTCCCTTAGAATTTTTCCATTCTTTTTTCCTAGGCCTTTACTTATCACAGCACTGCTTGTACAAACAATAACATAATTTTAAGCAGTAATTAGGCAGTAATCCATTGGGTATTAACAATGCTTCCCTGTTCTTAGATTTAGAGTCAATTCTTGTGCCTAAAATCTAGCTCTCTATGTGAGGCTATTTTTAATCAGTTCCCACCTACAGTCTACACATATTTACCATCTAATTCACAATAGTAGAGGAGGCAGAGTGCCTCTGAATTAATACCGCAGGATTTACTTATCTCGTTTTTATTGTTCTGAAAATAAAACTTTGTTATAAAAAATGAACTTGATTTAAATTGCCATTATGAGAAACAGATCAAAAGTTATATTAGTCTTCTCAGAAATGTGGGTGCACCAGAAGTAGGTCCCTACTACAGATCTATTCTGGGGATTTGCCCCCTGCTCCTTTCTACCTAGAGCCAGTTCGGTGTGGTGGTTAGGAGCAGGGACTCTAATCTGTGGGGACCAGGTTTGATTCCCCACTCCTCCACATGCAGCTGCTGGTGTGACCTTGGGTCAGTTACAAGATTTTCAGAGCCATTCTCGAAGGAGCTCTCTCAACCCCACCTACCTCACAGGGTGTCTGTTGTGGGGAGGGGAAGGGGAAGGAGATTGTAAGCCACTCTGAGACTCCTTCAGGTAGTGATGGGCAGGGTATAAATCCAATCTCTTCTCTCTCTCTCTCTTCTCTCTCTACCCTGTTCATATAAATGGTATATAACTTTGTGGAGCTCCCAAATGAGATCTTACTCATTTTATGTTTTATTGTTGATTGAAACATATAAAACTGTTTAAAAGTGAAAAGAATGTTTATGGAAAAAAACTGAAAAGCAAATATTTCATTGGGCCAAACAGAAATCTACTTGACTCAGCTTGCAAATAACATCCCAGAAGGTAGTTACCCAACTGCTGCCCCTTATTCTGCTAGCACTCTTATCCACAATCCATAGGTTGTACCCTCCTTCCTTCAGAGAACGGAGGGAAGCTTCAGGGGCAGCAAGTACTGGATATGTTGTTAGAGCTTATCTGTCTTGCGCACAGTCTCTATAAACCTGCTCTAGTGTTAAACAGGGCTGCAGGGTGGGTAGAGCTGTCTCTTGCAGGGGCAGACTGCCATCTAATATACTAGGGATTTTCCTGGTGGGCCAGTGCCCTGGAGAGCTGCTAGTGGCCAGGAGCAAGCAGAACCAAGCCCTAGCAATTCTACCAACACCTCAGAGACAACTTGGCTCAGACCCTTCGTGTGCAATGATCATTGGTGCCAACTCACAATTTGTTTCCTCATGCACAACTGCCAGTGGGGAGGGGAATGCGATGGGTCAGCTAATGCCCATTTTCAGCTCCACTGAGCAGAGTGGCTGTGCTCAGCTATTTCACTTCATTCCCAGTCCACTCCTGGTCTCCTGGCTTCATACTAGGAAGAAAAAGAAAACAATCTCACTCAGAAACTCCAACAAAGCACCTTTGTAAAAACTGTGGGCAAAGGTTTGGATCCAATGAACATGCTGATGGATGTCGATCATTCTCTTGATCTTTTCCCCATGACAGTCCATTCCAGTCCCAGGAAAGTTGTTTCCTGGTGGTGTGAGACCCATATCACTATCCATGTGCATATGGCAGTCTGCACTAAAGAGAGCAAAATGGGTGAAATTGCCCTCTTCTCCCTCTTCTGTCAGTATAGGAGAACAGGAAAGAAAATTCTGTAGTCCTTGTGTCCACGGATCATTGGATCCATCCCAAGGTCTAACTTTCAGATTTACTGCTCTGTTGCAACTAGGGATGGGTATGAACTGGCAGATGAAGTAAAGCTCATCAAGAATTTTGGCTAGTTCGTGGTTTGTGAAGCAATGTCCCTGAAAGGACAACTGGCATAAACATTCCACAAACTTTCATGCTTTTTTGTGACAGTTTGTGATGGTTTGTGAATGGATACATTTTCAGGCAGACTGTCTCCAATCAAACTGCTTACAAAACTCCAAAGTAATGCGATGCAGAATTCTCCAGCCTTGGAAATACCAACAGGAACCCTCCAAAGTTTAACAGGCACTCCTGGCTGTTCTCATTCTCCGCTATGGGATCAGAATGCTATATATCAGCTCAGCTCCACCTCTGTTAGGTGTTGGCAGTTAGACAGAGAGGCAGGGAACTTGTTAAAAGTAGAGCACATTCATTTATTCCCTTCTGATTGTGAACCCCTCTCCCCTGCTGGGATTTGGATGTTCGGAGGACTCAACCTGTCTCTCTGCTCATGCTGAGCAGTGGGGCTTAGATACTGGGTTCCTTGGCTGAATGAATACCCTCCTTTTATACCTTCCTGGTTGTGAACTTCTCTCCCCTGCTGAGGTTTGAGCATTAGGTGGACTCAGGGCTCTGAGCCACCCCATCTCTCTGCTCACGCCGAGTACCTCAGCTGAGGACCCATGTTTTATGCCCTCCTGATTGTGAACTCCTTTCCCCTGTTGGGGTTTGGGTGATAGTTGGACTCATGGCCAAACAACAGAGGTAGGGCCAGATGACAACCTTGTGTGACCAGTACTCCAGGGGATCAGCGTCAGCAGTCTCAGGGGACTTGGCAAGGTACTCCGTCACCATCACCTTTTCCGAATCCTTCGCATTGCACACCTGGAATCCCTGCTGGAGAAACTGTAGAGGAGAAGGTGGCGGGGTGAGGTTCCCTGTGCATTTGGTGTGTGTCGCTTGCAGGGGGTCCATTCTATGCACTTTTGAACCTGCACCTGACATTCTTCCTGCACCTAACTCAGACCCCCAAAGTCCAATCTGCACATAATGTGGAGGGTGTGTTGAGGAGGTCCTCTGTGAGTTTGATGCCTCTAGCTTGCACAGGGTCCATTCTATACACTCCTGAGCCTGCACCTATCATTTACCCAGAAAGCACTTTCCTGGGGGCACCTTCTTTGGGGGGCCATAACTTGGACCCCCTAAGTCCGATCCTCACCAAACTTGGTTTGTTCCCATACCTAGTTGCCCATTCCAAGTAAGGGTTTTTCTTCCCTGGTGTGGAGCAACAAGGAGAAAGCCTGCTCCACAGTAGCAAGATCTCGATGATTACCCAGAAAAGGCTATGGGATAAAGAGAAGAGCACAATATTCTTAGTGGCTTACCTGTTGCCTGGGGCTCTTCTCTTTTTTCAGGAAAAGGAAGAGAACTTTCTCTGCAGAGCACTATTTCTCTTCCTTTCAGCAAGCTAGGAGGCTCTCAAGTGTTTCTGGTTAAGGAATGGAGTCTAAAGATTATATACATGGTATTCCTTGTTTGCTTCCTAGAAGAGAAGGATAGCAGAGCCCTAACAATCAGAATAAAGGGCTTGCCCCTTTCTCAATGTATAAGTGGGAATGTTAGGTAATCATGACAATTTTCAGTTGTTGACAGTGACCAAGCAAGATATTATTTGCAGCCATGTTTTGAACAATTGTGGTGATTTTACTGTGTGGATTAAAATTGCTCAATTGTTATCCCTTTACATGATTTTCTGTTCAGGTATACATTTTGACTAATCTTAAGCCACTCTCTTCCTTTGCAGCATACATTGAAGATGTGGCAAGATGTGTAGACCAAAGCAAGCGATTGATCATTGTCATGACTCCAAATTATGTGGTAAGAAGAGGCTGGAGTATTTTTGAACTGGAAACAAGACTTCGAAATATGTTAGTTACAGGAGAAATTAAAGTGATACTGATCGAATGCAGTGAACTCCGGGGAATTATGAATTATCAGGAAGTGGAGGCCCTGAAACATACCATCAAGCTCCTTACTGTTATTAAATGGCATGGACCAAAATGCAACAAGTTGAATTCCAAATTCTGGAAACGTTTACAGTATGAAATGCCTTTTAAGAGGATAGAACCCATCACACATGAGCAGGTATTAGATGTCAGTGAGCAAGGACCCTTTGGGGAATTGCAGACAGTCTCAGCAATTTCTATGGCTGCTGCTACCTCCACTGCTCTCGCCACTGCCCATCCTGACCTGCGCTCCACCTTCCATAATACATATCATTCCCAGATGCGCCAGAAACACTATTATCGAAGCTATGAATACGACGTACCTCCTACCGGCACCCTGCCTCTTACCTCAATAGGTAACCAGCATACCTACTGCAACATCCCTATGACACTTATTAATGGGCAGCGGCCACAGACAAAAACTAACAGAGAGCAGAATCCCGATGAAGCTCATACAAACAGTGCTATACTGCCACTCTTACCACGAGAAACCAGTATATCAAGTGTCATTTGGTGACAGAAATGGAAGGGGGAACTCGGCCCCCTTGAGTAGAAGCAAAGTCTGCAGTCTGGTGCCTGGAACTACATCCTCGACTGCTGCTGTTAAACATGCATTACAATCTATGAAATATGAGGAAAAACAGGGTCTTGTACATATGTTTTTGCAAATTTCTTTGTAGCATCAGTCTTCCTGTTTTATCCATGTCTCTTGCCATTCACATTTTGACTTTGTTTTATATGTCATTGGATTTGTATATTTACATTTTTTAAAAAAGAAAAACGAAGAGACTGCTGTATAGATAGGAGAACCCTTTTTGCTTCATTAGTATAGTTTATGTGTTATTTTTTAACATTTCTTGGGAATGCTTGGACAAAGCGCTGTTGAGTCCAGAACATGATCCATTTTGTTGGCCTGCCTAGCCTGATACCCAAAGGCCATGCTTGCAGCAATTCACCAGTGCGTACGTGCGTGTGTGTGTGTGAACACTTGTTCTTAGGAGGACCCCACCGATGATTCATAGCCCTCTTCATTCATTATCCAACTGCCACATCTAATCCCACCCCCTTTATCCTTGCCCTTTTTACAGCATCACACTGGGTGAAATTATAGATGGTTTAATTGTCTAACATTTCACATAGTAAATAGTTGTGGAACAATACAAAAAAAACCCCAACCCAGTCTGTATCACTTGCTTCACAATAACCACTATGACCACTATGAAGTGTGTAGAAAGAAAAATAGAAGGATTCTTTCTTTCTTTTATGAGTTGATTGTATTCCTTTTATAGATAACATGCCGACTCTAATTCATTCACTTCCTGAGAAAGTGTTGGATGTGTTTGTGATTTCCCACACACACACATTTTGGGTTAAGATTCAGTGGTTTTGTTTCCTGCTTTGAATTCTTCAAATGAGATTATTTACATTTGTCAGGCAAGTAAGGCAATAGGCACTGAAGTGCACTAAATCCCACAGAGATTTACAGTGACAGCTTCCAAACCAAAGGAGAGCAGAAGGACAATATCAAATACGGTTTGTCACATTGTATTACAGAAAATGCTGTCTTTTAAGAAGTAATGAGAAGATGCTTTTGCAGCTGATTTTGTAGTCCCCGTGTGTACACTGAAGTTCAGTCTTCTCTTTTTCTTTTCACTTATCCAGAATTTAGCATTTTTTATTATTCATTATCTTTCTTCTTTAAAAATTTGTAATAATAATTTAGACTTTTTTTAATTCCAAGGTTGTTTAAAGGAGATCTCAGGAGGTTGCAAAAGTAAATACCAACAAACATCAATATTTTATACAAGATTAGTATTTAAATCAGACCCAGAAATGTTGGAAACAATTAATGTTATTGAATAAAATAAAGTAGTTTTATTTTAAATGTATGATTTCATCTTTAAAAGTGGAAGAAAGAACATGCGACTAGACTCTGGGAAATGTTTTCTGCATAAACCTCAGGACTGAATCTTGCCTATCTAGAAGTCAAAGAGTGTTTGTTGTAGACATGGATGGAACCCAGAGTTTAATTCCACATTTACCCAATGCTGACATAGCCAATATTAATATGCATATTTTCACAAACTGATGCAACAGTCACTTTTCACATAAGACAAATTGGGGGAAGTGAGACAGAATGTTTTATTAATATAGCACTAGACTATGGGAGCACATTTCTAATAGTGTATATTGATGCATTGGAGCACTAATATTGGGTCAGTTTACACCAAGAGAGAATGTAACCTTTTCTTTTGGCACTCAAAATGCAACAATTGAAGTGCTGAAAAACAATTGCTTGAAACTATTGAATTTCCTGTCATTTGGGGAGAGTTTTCCTAAACAGCTGACCAGTCATAGCCAATGTTGTGTGTGTTTGTTTTATCATTAAAAATCTAAGTTATATTTTGGTTTGGATAAGATGCAGTGTGACAAAATAATGTGTAATCTGCAGTTTAGAAATATTTGTAAGTTTTGACCGATATGATCAGTCGCGTGCTGTAACTGGCAAGGAAGTATCTCCAAGCTGAGTTGAAGGAGTTCTAGGACAGACATTAACATTTACTCACACAAATTATTCATTTCTGTGACAGTTCACTCAGGTCCTTTTCTAGTCTAGTATTTTGTTCAAGAGTGCCTCCCCCATCCACTCCCCAACCTCTGGATATGTGCCAAATAAATTGCAACAAGCAAATAAAGCTGCCAGGGCAGATAAAGTATGAAAAAGCAGCTTTGCACATTTTGTTCTTTGAACATTTAAGATGGCTATTATTTATTATAGACACCTGCCAGTTTCTGATGGAATTTGATGGTCTTTGACAGGATTCCAAATCTCAGTCCCTCTCACCTGCTCCAAATACCTAAGAAAAGGTACATCAGTCCAAAAGCCTTTTCTTTTATATTTTTAAAGCTTAAATCTGGGTTGTGAAGTAAATGTAGAGCATAGCAATCGGACTGCAGTCACACTGTAGGTACTAGTAGGATTTTTTTTCTTTTTTTAAAAAAGGAATACTTTTTTCCTTCTATTTTTAATGTAGATTAAAGCACTTTGAATAGCATGATTCAGGGATTGATGGATACTATTTGATATTCACACTACTTAAAAGATTTTCTTATAATGCTTTGTCATATTAAATAAAAACAAGAAAGAGTGTGTGAGAGAGACAGACAGACAAATACAAAAAAATAACAGAGAAGCCATTTCCGGCTTTAGAAACATTCCACCCAAGTATTCCTCTTCTATAAAAACAGCTCTTTGTGAGAAACAGTAAAGGAACTGTCATATGTTCACATACTCAATGTTTGACTAAAGTTCTGTTAGAACACAAAATAAAAGAAAAAATATCTTTGCCCTAATTCTTGGGCTGTATCTTTTTATTGGGGAAAAAGGTGGGTGGGAAGAGATGGTCTAATTATTTGAAGTGTCCTTGCAACAGCCAAGTTTAAAGGTTATCCACACAAGAAAACCCCACCACCACCCTGCACTTTGACCCCTAATCCAGTACAAAGATAACCATATTTAACATCAGTTATTTCATGTTGCATTGTGGCTAAACTATACAACAAAGTGGGTGGGCAAAGGTGATTTACTCTGCTCAAAGACCTTCCATTTAAGATTACATGGATTATTGTCAATAACTTTGTTATAAATCTTTCTAGTACCATCCATTATTCTGAAGCTAAGATTTTCTGCAACCTATGGATATGTACTATCATTACAGTTTGTATTTCTGCAACTGCCAAAAAATCTGTGAGTAGTACTAAATGTACTACTAAAGGGACTGTTCACATAACCATTTTTAGACTCACCATAAGTATTGTGAAACTTACAAGGTTTCTAGCATAGTTGTCAGGATACCATAACTTGAGATCTCACCACAACGTTTTTCTGTGTAAAAACAGATGTACTCAGTTGCCTCATAGAAATTCTACTTCAAAAAATGAAAATGTGAATTATCTGTTAGATTCCTAGACTCTGGAATTCATACAGGTCAATTTCTCAGGCTAAAATAGAAATCATCACTGATGACTTCAAGCAAAGGTCATAAAAGGTAACTGAGCCATTTCAAACTTTAGACCTGTTGCATTTGTCTTATGTTATTTAAGAATTGCCAATTAAATTGTTTTTATACCCAAGAGATTGGAGAATGTACCTGATGAAGTCTTTGTGTATTTTCTTCTCTTCTTGGTTTCTTTGAAAAGAAGCCTTATCCAGATTTTAAAGGAATTGTTTAAAGGGTACAAGAATATAGACATTTTGAAATGCTGCTGAGAAAATAAAAGGCAACAGAGGAGAAGACTTCAGATGTCTTCTATACAGATACAGACATCTGAGTTAAGTCATTCTTTGCTATAATGCAGTACCCTTCTGAGGGAAATGGATAGAAAACGTGGCTGGCAGATGGGTCATTAATAACATCATGCATATCTAGGCCTCATCTGCTTGTTTGGATTCCTTCTGCTTACCTAATGGTTCATAAGAACTGCTAAGGAATGTATTAGTTGTTGTAGATTTTCCAAGCTGTATGGCCGTGGCCTTGGCATTGTAGGACCTAACATTTCGCCAGCAGCTGTGACTGGCATCCTCAGAGGTATAACACAGAAAGATTGAGTACTCTCTAAGGAATGATTCCTAATAGTTGATATACTGGGACTGTTTCTCCAACTGGTCTATTTAGTAATTTAGAACAATTTCATTTCTCACCTAGTGCAACTTCACAACTGCTTGAGATGGAATTAAATGAACATGGAAAGATTTGTAACATACAGGCCTTGCCTTCAAATGTGTTTCAAGTTCTCTGGCTGTTTAGTGTTACAAAAGTTCATGTTTAATGGGAAAGCAAGAAAAATTACTTTTGATGTATCACATTGATAGTATTAAGGGGGCTTTATTTAAATTTCAAAGTGTTATCTTTTAGTGTTTGGAAGAGTGTATCCATGCAATATGAACATAAAACACTTTTGCAACTTCATAGTTCACTATGAAAACTTTCTACAAACATTGGGACAAATACAAATTGCTCCATCCATTGTAATTTTGTATTTATTATTATCCTTTTAACTTATTCTGTTTGTAATTGAACCTTTATTTTTATCATGCTAAGTTTCCATGGTTGGAGGAAAAGGTAGCTGTAAGCTCTTCATAGTGAGCTGAAAAAATTGGCTTTAAAAACAAAGCATAAAGTTCGGTTAGAGGTTGGAAACAGAGCTAGATACCTAAACTTTACCTATTGGCTACAATCCAGTGTTAATATTTACTAACTTTGCTTGTTGATAACAGCAGGTATATCCACATTTGCAGCTACAGGCTGAGGTCACATGCACTAATCCACTTTCAATCCATTTCAGTGCACTTTCCAACTGGATTTTGCCAGTTCACACAGTAAAATCCAGTTGGAAAGTGGATTGAAAGTGGATTACTTAGTATGTGTGACCGCAGCCTAAAGAGCTTTTGAACAATTCAAATATCATAAATGATGCTGTCTAAAGAGACTAGTAAACATGACAAAAGTTCCACTC